CGTGTAGGATCGTTTCTTTCCTACCTAGGAGCAACTTGGAGCGCTTCAAGCAAAGAAAGAAAGAACTTGTCAGTGCGACTTTGACTGGGCTGCTTTTCAACTGAGCCGTCCCCGAAATGGTGGGGCACCTACATTTACAAGCGATGGATGATAGTCTGAAAGGAAAGAACCGGGAAGGGCTGCTCGACAGTCCGGATTCGGGGTTGCCCCCCAGTCCCAGCCCGCCCTTCTGCTCCCTCTCCCCGGGTCTGATCGAGTCGCGCTCCGGCAGCTGCACGACCCCCGTCGAAAGCCATCATGGATATTATAAAAAGGAAAGCAGAGACGGCAAACTGGTAAGAAACACATCACCATGTTTACGTTATGATTTGAATCACATTTGTAATCTGCCAGCAGTGACTTGACCTGCGTTGTGTCCACAACAGTTGTGCAGTCAGTCAGTCAGTCAGTCAGTCAGTCAGCTCACTGACACGTTGGATCAAAGTATAAAAAGGTCTAACAGCCAAATAATGACGCTGCTGTAGAATACACTGAAAATCTGATAGCATTTTAGTTTTGGCCAGAAACAGATTTCACTCACACCACATCTGGAAGCATTTCGGAATTCCTTAGTTACAAACGTGTGATGCTGCACTCGTGTTGAAGATGCCACTGGCTCCAATAATCCAGGAAAAATTCGTTCTTTTCATTCCGGTGCATCAGCTGGGCCCAAACTGCAAAGTGTCATGAGGGTCAGTGAGTTGATTAGGCCCAGATGGGTTTTCAAACTGGGGTCCAGAGACTCCCAGGGGTCCTTTCCAGGAATCCAGGGGATTCCAGTAATATTACAGCAAGTTTTATAGCACTAGTTACTAGTTTCAGTAACATCTGAATGAAGGTGTGTACACTGTGTAGTCAGGTTTTTGTCTCTTCTAAGTTTAGCTTCTTCAAGAGCCTCAGCTGAAACCACTTTAAATGAACAGAGAGGCAAATTTGGTTGATTGTTATTTCAGTTCTTCCCAACCTGTGGCCCTTTAATACAAATGTCCAGGGGACATGTGAACAGGTGCCATATGTTTTTGTCTAGTGAGCACCTTAACCAAAGAATCATACTCTATGCTCACATTGTTTCATAGTTTTAAAAGTACTTCTTTGATAAAATTCTGCAGTCCTTCATAACAGAAAGCAGTAAATAGAGAAAAGTCTTTTTTGTATAATACATTTTCCACAGATTTCATCTTGGGACCCCTTTAGAGTAGCTCCAGTTCTTATCAGACAGTCATCTTGTGACTCTCATCCCCCACCTTAGTGTCAAAGTCATGCAATGAGCAACTTTTTTTTTTTTTAACATTTCTTTATAGTTTGTTGTACCAGTTTTGTTCTTGAGCCTGCAAAATCTGTGAACAGTAACAGGCTCAGGTCACTTGCAAAGCTGGAAACTGGGATCTATCAAAATAGGGTTGCAGGGTATCAGAGGGAACACCATAAAGTTTATTGATCTGAGTTTCAATATGAATGAAAGATGAATGATTGGTTAAAGGTAAAAAATACACCTAGAAGCTGGTGTCTTGATTGATTTAGATGTGGCAGCAGTAGAAACAGTAGCTGTGGGGCATCAGTAATAATCAGGGACGTTCCAGTGTCCCTGCACATAACAGGACTGTTAGCTATTAGTCTCAGCCAGCTCCTGCTCAGACCAACAAGCCCAGTCAACATGACACTTTCAAGCCTATGGGCTTGTTAAATTCTTTTGTCTGTGTTAGTTCCTGAAGTTTTTAAATTGTTTTCTGGATTAGTAGCAGTTGACTAAGGTGAAACTGTACAAATACACAGTATATCTACAGCAGTGTCTGAAATAATCGTTCATTAAATGAACTACTCAAACAGTCATCGCAGCCTACGGCAATATCAGTGTATAATTACCTGAAGACAGTCCAACAAAAATAACAGAGGACAAATGCATTTTAATGGCTCATCCTGCAGTGACTTGTCCATCACACATGTCATAGCTGATTTGATTGAAAATCATTTCCAGGTCACTCCCAGTTTCAGAAGTCTTAAGAACATGTCTGCACAGGCCAGGGTGGCTTTTAGAGTGTTTAAAGGAGGCCTCAGAAATGCTGCACCCTGGGAGTTGCATGACATTTTGCTGAGGTTTGCTGATGTTTGCTGAGGCCTGAAACAGAGAGACATCCTCTAATCCTCTGGAGGTTCAGATTAGCAGGGCTCCTCTGCTTTGTGGTTTCTCTTTTAAAGATCAGCCCTGATAAGGACTGTTCATGCTTGTGTTTCGAATCCCGTCCATTGGTCTGTGTGTATGAAAAGACTCAAACGGTTCCATCAGGAAAAGGCTGTTTGAGTACGCGCCGGGTACCAAGACCAGAGGGGGCATACACATGCACAGTTTTTCTCTTTCCAAATTTATGCTTGTGTTGTTTTTGTATACCATCTAAGAACAATGCTCAACGTGTATTTTGAGGTGCAGGGACTTATTAGAGCAGCTGCAGGCCATTGCATAAGCGTTTGATGACCTCACAGATCGAAATTAAACGTGGATACATGCTCAGACAGCCTGTCTGTTTTCAGACCTGGTTCAAATTTTTGCAGATGCAGAATAATTACATCTTCTACTTCCATCGCCTAACAAATGAATAGATTTATAGAGAGATTAGATGCATGAAAAACACAAGTGTGGTAATGTAGTTTAGAGTGTTTCAGAGGTGGACAAGGCTGTGTATTCAGCTCGTTCAAAGAGGTGGCTCAACTGTCTGTGGATTAAGTGGAAGAGACAGCAGAAAGATCTCATGGCTTTTTAAAAAATCTACTTCTGCTGGTACAGGTGCCCTCAGGTTAATGTCCCCGCAAACACAGGAAGTAAAAATTGAGAAGTTTCACTTCCCCAAACAGCCAACCGTATGGAAATGTGTGTTTGAGTTGGCGTTTCTCTCAGCAGCTCTGCATTGTGCATTGTAGGCTGTGTGGGCTGCTCAGCTGCAGACCATTTTTCCTGGGCGGTAATGTGCTTCCAGGGGTGCTATGCTTTGTGTACATACTGGCTGATCCACTGCCTGGAGGTAACCTACCCTCTATTCATGAGTGTTTGCTTTGCAGAAGTTTCCAGAACACACTGTGGAGAAATACCTGGGATGCTCTCTGTGGCGAAGCAGCTGCAGAAAGGCAGTCACATACTCTTGACGTGTTTCTTTGCTTGTCATGAAAGCACAGCAAATGAAGGGTCTGCAGATTAACATTTCGTTTCTTTTATTTTCAGTCCTGCACAGCAGAACTAGCAGCTGTGCAAGTTCTATTCCACCATTCAGACAGTTTGTAGTGATGATTGTAGGCTGCGGGTAAGACGAGCTGCACACAACAATCTGCCCTTGGCCTGTTCTTGCTCGTCCCCTACAGTGGCATCTGTGCTTAACTGTGGCCAAACCACAGCATGTGACAGGCTCCCCTCTGTAACGTGAGGGGTGCTTTAGCTGTGGTCGGGGTGGCATTCATTTCAGACCGGTCAGTGTTTAAAGACACGTGTAAGAAAATGGGTCAATTACAACCTCAGCTCACAGGTTATGACACTATTATTGTTTCTGATTGGTGCAGCCTTGTTTTTCCTTTATTGCTCCAGAGGGGGCCATGTCAGACAGTGGTCTAGGGTCAGTACACCAACAGACGTGCATGGTTCATGCACTTGGTTGAGTGCAATCTATCTATCTTGTGTCATCAGCAACTTATAACGAAGTGAAGCTCAACCATGTGGTGTTGTACACAACTTTAAAAAGGTGCTATGAATTAATCTATTAAGTAAAATTCCTGTGATTGATATAAGAATTTAAATTTGTGTTTGTCGTACTCACTATTGATTTACTTAGACCTAGTAGGACAGTATTGTTCAGTAGATTATTCATACAAGAACATGTAAGAGCTGAAACAGTTAGCCAATGAATGAATTAGTCAGTGTAATGAAAATTAAACCTGACACCCTCACACATCCATGCTTGATCATTTTCACCCATAAAAATCATGATTCAGAACCAAGAAATATGACAAAGACAAAGCATGTGTCTTTGATTAAAGACGGACTTTCACTTAATTTTTAAAGCTCCTACAAGACATCTTGGGTCCTTGTGGCAGGAAGAATCCTGGACTATCACCTTGTTATCATTTTCAAACAGCATCATCCCCATGCAGCCTGACTACCAGCTGCTCTAGAGACTTGTTTCTTTGAAGTGAAGGTCTCGTTTTTTTAGTTTCTATGGGCCTCAACATCTGTAAGCCACACACATACATACACATACACACCCAGGCTGTTACTGAGTTATGTCTCGAGGCAGCCTGAGCTGCACTGAAAGCTTGTGAGAAAGATTTAACACCAACTGCTCATTTGACTGGACTCCCACAGTGTGATTATCTGAATTCAAATTGTGTTACCCTGACTGCTGTTGTCTGATTGTTGTTGTAGTAATAGCCGTGCCATCAAATGGGCGAGCTCTCACGAGGGAGGATCGAGCAGTGTGTTTTCCTGGAGAGGGTGGGGACTGCATTGTTTTCATTTGAGTTGCTAGTTCTGCTGAAACCCGCGGCCATGTTGGCAGGCTGGTTACAAACAGTGCAGCAGTTCTTAGGTGACTTTGTGAGACTATGACTCTTGTGTTTCCCCTGCACAGCTGCCCTACTTGCTGCTGAACTCCACAGGAACAGACCTAAAAACTCGCAGGTACCCCGTGTTCTTTGGAGAAAGCATTGAAGTCAACCCCAAACCAGAGCAGGAAATCAAGTAAGGGCGCTCAGACACACAAGGCACGGCACTGATTGCAATGTGGAGTTGTTTTCACTTATTTTGATCAATATTCTCTTGTCAACATTGCCACCTAGTGATCATTTTTACATGTGTTTCTAAAGAGTTGTCACCTTCATCCTTTCAGATGTAGCTCCGAGGTCAAGTACAACTCCGACAAGCATTACCGGGACCGGGTTTACTGTGCCCCCATTCCCACGGCCACCTCCTTCAGCGAGACAGTGGTGGCAGTGCAGAATTGCACTTGGAGGAGCTACAAGTCCCAGGTGTACCTGGAGCCGCGGCAGAGGCCCATCAGCTACCAGAGCACCACCATCATCTACCCGAAACATGCCAAGAACATTTATCGCACCACGCTCAACTACAATGCTACAGGCTCCCGCCGCTGGTTTGTCTCCACGGTGCAGCTGGAATCAAGTGAAGATACTAGTCCCTGTATCATCTACACAGAGGACTTGTAGAGCCCAGACCAGGCCAGCCTGCACAGGGGAGAGGGCTGCCTGGTGATTATCTTGTTTTTGTGGGGGGTGCAGGGGGGAGGACAGGAAACTTGGCAAGGCTCATAATGAAAGGAAAATACTTCAAGTAATACCCGGACCCCTAAAAGCTCTGCTCTGTTCATCTTTACTCACCACGGAGGAAACTCTGGGAACCCTTTAGTGACCTCTCATCTGAGCATATTCAGACTTTCTACTGATGTAGTCTTTAAAAAGGGAGGTGGTCTTCTTGCAGTTTAAAGCTGCACTTCATTGGTTAATCAATGTCTTATTTAATACAAGGGCTGACAAACTGGCGGTCTTTGTGCTGCTTTAGGTTGGACTGTAACCTCAGTGAAGGTCATGATCAGATGGTCGATGTCTGTGTATGCAGAGAAGAGTCAAAGTGACGTGTGTCATGGATTTCAGCGCAAACTGATTTACACCAATGCAAAGCTTTCTAATATGGCTTTATTGCACTTGTTTTTCATATATCACTGTCATCTCAATGGACTTGACATTGCAGGGGGGGGATTTCAGTCCTGCATTTGAAAAACTGGACCAAAGATAGTTTGAACAGTTTCTGTCTTTGTGCTAACTCCACACACAAAGACATAACACTTGTTTTTGTTTTAGTTTTAATTAAAATAGTTAAAACACACACAACAGCAGCTCATCTAGTCTGGAGATTTCTAGGTTTTGAAAGTTTTTCTCTGCAACATTTGGTTGTAACACCTGAATGCAGTTTTGGTTCTAACAACCGTTAAACTTAACTTTCTTGTTCAGCCTCCAAGAAGGGTTAGAGTTCAGGAAAAAACAACCTCAGTTATTATTAATTAAGAGTTTAATGCTTAGAATCTTAATTAAGCTGCTCCATTAGGACTATGGGCATAGGGCCACATCATCTATAGTTATAAGTTGACTGAGAGCATGCTTGCATGTTTTCTGGACCTTTTAAAAATGCCGGCAATCATTGTATGGTTTGCTCCCTTCAGTGAGTATAACAGTTTGCTTTTAATCTGCTTTGGTGCCAGATGTTGGAGCTTGTCACCAAAAAAAGAAGAAGAGAGAGAAAACCAGTCAGTCAGAGGGAAGTGTTTGACAGTTTGTAACACATCTCTGTCACAGCTCTTGGTACAGAACAGCCTGATGCAGCAGCCAACACCTGTAGGCTACTTTTCCACAAGTCAAAAACCAGAGCTATTTCCAAAGGTAGTTTGTCTGGATGTTTTAGTACAAGCAGTCAGTGAAGCACTGCAGTGTTAGCCTTTTGAAATAAAGCCCAGTCTTCTCTGTTGGGTTGCACCCGCTATTTGTAAATCCAACAATGGGTTTGTGTGTGAATTAACCAGTAGTTAGCTCCAAACTAGTGAGTTACTAAATCATGTTGCACCTTTAAAACTTAAGGAATATCTTAACTAGTAAAGTCTCTGTAGCATCGCAACTTAAATTTACAGTTTAAGGGGAGCAAGCCGCATATTCAACTCTACTACTAACTAATCCTTTGGGATTTTTGTTTTGTTTTAGTGCATACATGGAAAATGTCGGTTCTTCAGTGTCAGTATTCACGCAATATCTGATTATGCTAACCTAGCTATTGCTGTTTGCATTTTAATCTGAGATTATTAATGTAACATTAAGTAATTTGAAGCATGTTGTTACCTTAGTGAAACTTAATTTGGTGTCAGGTCAGATGTCATTCTTTAGCAAGCAGTTGGCTCAGTTAGCTATGTAACGTCTGCGCCTGGTTGATGCTGGGTGTACACTGGTTATTTAATAATTGTGTAAATGTGTAACTCACTAACAAAAAACCTAAGTTGTAACTGGATTTGAACTTACAAACAACTGGTGCAACTGAGTGTTTCCAGTTGTTTTCAGATATCACCAAATTGTCACATTGGGCAGTTTGTGATCCAAAGTAGTACAAGAGGATTCTGTTATTACCAACATGTAAAAAGTGGAGCAGTGAAACCACATTAGATTTTCCTGTTCAAGATGTATGATAGATTTTTATTGAGCATTTTCATGACTTTTTTTAATGTCTGTCATATATATACGTTTAAGATTACTGAACATGGCAAATATGAAACTTAAGGTTTTACCTCAGAATTTTTTAGGTATCACTTTTATTTTATTGCAAATTTGTATTCCCAATTTTCGGTTGAGGTCTTGAGCTTCTGAGCTTGTTTTATTGTATAGTCTGAAAAACCCTCCTGATAAGTGTAGAGTAGAAAGGACGTGGAGGGCACGAAGCGGAGGCAGTGCATCAGTACTGTAAGATGGGTTTTAATAAGGGAACAGCAAGTAGGAATACAAAGAGCAAGAGAGGGAAAAGGCGCAGAAGATATATATATGAGATGAGGAAATTGTTCTTGAGATGGCTTTTTTACAAACCAGCAGTGCCTGGAAACATGTTGGAGAGTTGTGCTATGTTTTTGATGGTCTGTGAAATGTCAGAGAGTGATGAGAGAAAGTCGGTGGGTGTCAAATCGGTTGTTGTATGTGAGATACTTTGTGTTTCCTTACACTTGATTTTGTTACTGTAAGTATTTTCCTGTTGTATATGTGGCATCGAGGCACTTCATAATTCTCTTTATATTTTTGTACGTCAATCATCGTTTCTGTTCTGATCAAAGGAAAGTAATTTAAAAAGATGTATATCCCGAATGAATAAAGAAAAAAAAAATTCCCAAACCCTAATTCTGTTGTTTTGAGTACTGTACATTTGTTGCGGAATGCTGATCACAGGACCTTGTGTTTTCCTGTTTACCACAGGTTTAATGCTGTCTCTCTGAATAAAAGAGGAGGTTCACCAGACACAGAGAGGGTTATACATTAATATAGCGCAGTGTCCTGTTGAAAACACGTTTATCTCGAATGGGCTGCAAAATGATTTTCATGAAGCTTAATTTAAGATGATGCAGAGTTAAGAAAACGGATCAGTGTTCATTAGTAGTGCAACCTTCCCAAAACCCAAACAAGACAAAAAAGCAATTGTGATATAAATCTGGTATAAAGCATAATCAGCTATAAATTGAGAATTGACTCTGTGTACAAGAGAAAACTGTTTCAATTAACGTGCCAGTCTTCCTGTATGTGTACTTATTTATAGGCTTTAAATATCAGACTGCTGCTAAAATAACAGCCGCTAGTGTTTGGCAGAGGGTTTTTGGATCGGGGCCTCAGGGGCTCCACAACAGCTCACATCCTTCAGCGCCTCATCCATCTCTCTCTGGTGTTGGATAAGTCTGAGGCGTCTCCCAGTGGTGAAGTAGCAAACATGCCTGACCACAGTTTTACAATTACTAAGACCTTATTTGTCAAAGGCATTGTGTTTCCTCCAAATACTAAATAGGTACTAGAATTGCAAGAACTTTCTTATTAAGGGACATAAATCTTTGCTCAGTGATGTACTACTTCCCTCTGGTACAGAGATACAAATAATGTTTTATCTGATGTCCTCAGAAATGGGTTTCTTGCCCAGATTTACTCTCAATCTATCAGTAGTCTACATATTCCAAGTATAGCAGCATAAGTGCAATATCTGATTAGAAACCTAAAGGTACCTGGTGGAATTTTTGGCTGCTAATGTTACAAAGCACAGTTTTGCTTTTTTAATCAACAATGCTGTCATTTTGTTTGTTCTCATGCACTCGCACAAGCGTGTGGGAAGGCAACACACATTCCACCCTGTGGTTTCACACTTTTTAGTTGATTGACAGCTGGTGCAAGTAGTAATGAGCCAACAAAGGCTACCAGCAGCGATGAAAAACATTGCTCCTCTGGGTGTGGGAGGAACACTCAGACTCCTCACGGAAATAAAAGTAGCAATACCAGACTGTGGAAAAGTCATTCGCTGAAAATATTACTCAAGTATTATTTACTTAAATGTGAAAGCACAAGATGACCAGATACACCGTATATTAATGCAGTAATGTTAAAGTAGCATCTGACTGTTTTAACTGGCTGAGGTGGTGCTGATTTTATATACTGTTAAGTAATCTATAAAATTTATTAGGCTGATTCTATTGCATGTTAGTTTTAATCAGCATTAAAACTAAAGTGCCCACATAAATGTAGCACAGTATAAAGTACAATATTTATCTGCACTGTAGTGGGCCAAAAGTATAAAGTATTTCCATGCAGAACTAGCACAACAGACACTTTAAAAATTCCACAGTTGTAACAAATTGGAAGTAGCATATTTATCAAAAGGACTCCAGCTACTACATGCGGTATATGGAGGAAACAAGATGAATTAGTCATACTGCACTCTTGACTCATCTGAGTACTTAATATCACAACATGGCAACCCTGGAGAGCCCAGGGAGGTACAGTATGTAAAGAGGGGCTCAGTACAGACATACAGTGTGATCTTTGTGTGCACAGATCACAGGAGACCTGATCAATAGCAGCTCAAATGGCAGCTGAACAGCACTTTGTACAACCGCCACTGAGAACTCGGCACTTCATCACAGCCAGAGTAGCTGCAGCATTAACATGGCCATGGATTCTGGAACATTAATACTAGCATTACTACAATATAACAATTACCTTCAGAATTCTCTGTTAAACACTTACAATAAACTACCTAAAGATGGGATTAGACCTCCCCCTGGTGGTACAGTAACAAACAGTTGCTGGTTTCCACGTCCTGCAGACAAATTACTGCAGCATTCATTTTGAGGTGTGTTTCTGTTTATCTGATGAATATTCACTTTTCTGCTCCAGTTCAGTTTCCACCAAATCCACCTTCCTAAACATCTTCCTAATGTCTACCATCTAGCTGCTGACTTTGTCATTTGGCGCAGTGGAAAGGGTGTGTTTTATTTCTCAGTAGTAGACAAGTCCTACTGCTCTTAAATAAGGATTTATAGACAAAGCTAACATTTGTAATAGCGTATTCCAGCTTCTGCAAAGATGAGGACACATCTCAAACTGCACTTGGCACATTTCACATTTAACAGTTGCTACATTTTTATGAGTGTCAACCACTGGTGGAAGAAATACTCCGATTTAAGTCAAAGTGTCTCAGAATTTTGATTTAATAAATATTTATTTTTCATGGTCACTAAGTTTTTTCTTTATTTATTTTCTTGTACTGATGGAAAAGAAATGTAAAAAAAACCCATCTGAGTGAGGTTTGTTGTCCCTTAAACCTAAACAGTGAGCTAGAATGTTCTTAAAGCTGAGGAGAATGAGTCAGGTGACAATTCTGTGGGTTTGCCATGACAAGCACCATTTTTCAAGTTATAGATTGTAATTTGATCAGTAAATGCCAAACTTCTTTCCACTTTAACTGAATTTTATGAATTTATCTTTTGCATTGACACTAAATATCACACTTTATTTTAGTTGGTGCTTTTGATATAAATGTAAATAAGAAAGATACAAAACAAATGACTCTAAATTTACTGGATTGCATGACATGAAAACAGCCCAGAAACATCTCCATTATCTCTGACTCAGAACTGAGCTTTAATACACCTACTTGTCTGACATGCCTCCCGTGTAGCTCCTCAGCTCCTCTGCTAAGAATATTTACATGTTCAGAAGCTCAGGACGAACCTTTGGTGAAGCTGCTTTTAGATTTGAGTTTTTATGGTCTGAGCCATTCGAAGAGTCTGCATGAGGATGTGGGAACAACTGAAAGTGTCAGTGTTTCTAAATCCAAACCTAAAACCGACATCTAAATTATTTTGACATCTGTGCCTATTTATTGATTTTCATCCCATTTTATTTGTTGTGGTATTCTTTTATCTAATCAATTTTATTTTACATTCATTACATTTATCTCTTTAATACTCTCCTATGTGTAACACAAATACACATAAACGTGTAAAAAAAAAAAAAAAAGTTTTTACTGTTTACATTTCTTCTTCATTGCCCCAGAAATGAGCAGCAGCTGTGGATGTGTACTGTAGGTCAAGTTTACGGGGCCAGTAGGAGAGACCGAGGGCATCTAGTGGCCAGGTGGTGAATAACAGGGAATAGAAGGGTCCAAGCAGATGCTTGTAGTGGGAATGTGTCAGAGGGCAGTGGTTATGGCAGCGGGGGCAGGAATTTTCACAATAACACTAAATTGTATGAAAGTAGAGTCTGGTAATAAACAAAGATGCAAAAGCAGTTTTCAGAATCAAACTAGCTTAATTGGGCACACATGGCAGTAACTATAAAGTCCAATGAATCATGCTCAGTTATTTTATTTTTATAGCAAGGTTAAAGTATATTAACAATCCATTAGTGGCCACAGTGACTCAATGGAATAACTAAAAGGTACTATGTTCAGTGTCAGAATGAAAGGTTCAACTCCTGAAGATATAAAACCTTCCATAATAAAATATGAGTTACGGTAGCAGTTCAAAGTGACAAATGAGTGGAGCACCTGAGGGCAACATATGACAAGACTTAAAGCTCGGGGCCAGTATTCCTTCATCACACATCACATTAAAAAGTCTGTTATTCCCCACAAATAACATAAAATACAAATAAAAACAATGCCCAATATGAACACCGACTTTAATAGACTGTGGTTTTAAAGCGTGTATTGCAGCTTTGTTTTGGAAAATCAGAAGGGAAGCAGTAAAACAGCAGGGACCCACACTAACCAAGTCCATTATGAACAGTATTGCAGTCTAACATGTCATTAAAGTAGCATAGAAGCTGCACAATGAGATGCAAATCAAAGCAGTCGGGCAAACACTGGCTACCCGCCAAGCTACAACAGGAGGGAAGGGTAAGTACTTCATCCATGTGACAGAGTATGTGGACTTGTACTGTCGTGTGTGCCTTCCCCCTGTAGTTTCACCAGCAGGTCAGTTTTCACTTATCCTGTGAAATATAAAATGTACCGGATGCACCAGCACTAAATATAGTTCCCAGATGATGAATCTTAATGACTTTGGCCACAATGAGGTTCACGTTTGTGGTTTTTCGCATGCACCATCATCTGGTAAAAATTTCACTTTCTTTAAATACAGTACTTTCAGTACATTCATTACTTTGGACCTGCCATGTTTTGCTCCAGGGAAAAATTAATAAAAAAAAGAGAACATTCAACACAAATCAATAAATACCAGCACTCTGAGGCCATGAATGGCAATAAGCTTTTTATTTAAACATTAAGGCAGTGTCTCTTTTTTCATTTTTACACTGCTATCCACAAAGCTTGCTGGTGGGCATGTAGAATTAAACTATGTGGATTTTTTTTTTTGTAATACCAACCCTGAAGCAAGCCACATAAATATTTACATCTCTTCAGTTTTATATACAATCCTTGCTATTATACAGTGGGTTATAATAATAAAAAAAATCATTAAAATGGTTGAACAACGAACTGTTTGTCAATCCCCCCACCCCGGGACAGTACAGGGAACATATCAGCAACCAACTTTGTCTTATTAGGACTGAAAGATTTAATTTGATTTACAATGAAGGTGTATTCAACAAAGACAATCTGAAAAAAGATAAACTAAATTAATGCATGTTAAAACATCTCGGTACACTTTTAAAAACAATGTATTAATCTGTCAT